GGACTCCAGGATCATGACCTGAGCCAAAGGCAGTTGCTTAACCAACTGAGCCACCCAGGTGCCCTATTTTTTTTTTAATGTGTATATTTGCATGAGTCTGAAGGATCTACATCAAAACATTTGCAGTGATTATCTCTGGATGCTGCAATTTTTTTTGTTTCCTTCTTATCTTCCACATTAAGAATTCAAAATTTTTTCCCCAGAAATAATTCATAAAACTAACCATATTAAAGTGTACAATTCAGTAGTTTTTAGTATATTCACAAAGTTGTACAACCATCACCACTACCTAATTCCAGAAACCCTACACCTGTTAGCAGTCATACCCATCACTGCTCCCTGACCCAACCTAAGCAACTGCTAATTACTTTCTGGTCTCCCTGGATTTGCCTGTTCTGGGTATTTCACGTAAATGGAATCATCCACAGCGACTACACTTACTGAAGTGATCATTTCAGAATGCAGGCACAGGGTGAGTCACTGTTATACACCTGAAACTAACAATGTTGTATTAAAATAATCACAAGAGGGGCACCTGGCTGGCTCAGCCGTTAGAGCATGCGACTCTGGATCTCAGGGTTGTGAGTTCAAGCCCCACATTGGGTGTAGAGATTACTTAAAAAATAAATGATTTTTTAAAAAATCAGAAAAGAAAATACAATTTGCAAGTGATAAAAATAAAACTTCTAAATCAAAAATTTTTTTAAAAAATGGAATCAGACAAGAGGTGTTTTTTTGTGAGACCTGGCTTCTTTGACTTAGTACAATGTATTTATGGTTTATCCCCATTGTAGCATCTAATAATATTAGATAATATTATCACATTTTGCTTATCCACTCATTAGCTGATAGATACCTAAGCTGTTTCCACCTTTTGGCTATTGTGAATAATGCTGCAATGAACATCTGTGGACAAATTTTGTACAGATGTATATTGTTGATTCCCTTGGGTATATATATATATACAGATAGGAGTGGAGCTGCTGGTCCATATAGTAACTCTGTATTTAGCTTTTTAAGGAACAACCAGTTTTCCAAAGGGTCTGACCGTTTAACACCCCACCAGCAACACACAAGCTTACTAACAGTTGTTAACATCCTTTCTTAGAACTGACACAGCACATGCATTAAGGGGGCGCAAGACCTACTTGGTTGTTTTTCCAACAAACTTAATCCTTTTTGTAATTTTTCTGCAGATGAAATATAACTAGAAAAAGATTCTCTATAATAATAATGATACAAAGGCTGACATTTATTAGGTTCTTAATCCTGGGAGGGTTCACGTATGATCCCTCTGAATTTTGCAGAAAGCCCCGAGTTTGGAACCTACTGGAGAGATGAAGAACACGAGGTACAGGAGTGAAGTGACTTCATGAGCTTTATAACACTGCCCCACAGCCGAAATTCTTAACCATTGTTGTGACATCTAAAAACCTGCCTCTCCCTTCAGGCTGTTCATCTGAAGAACAGTTTCATTAAACCACCGTGTGTCATCTACATATTTTCCCGCTTGGAAAAAAAAAAAAAATCCTTCTTGAGATGATTTTTCACAAGTCAGTCAGGGACAATTTATCATACTCTGAATGCTAACAAATTCTGGGGATGCAAAACCTATAGCATGTGTATAAATAATTTGACTCAGCGGCATAGACATTAATTCAATGCTTTTTAAAAAAAAACGAACCACCTTGTTTCCTTGAGTTGTTGTGATACTTCTTCTCTCCTTCTGGATTTTTTATTGGCTCATTGGCGCCAATAGGAACGGGTTCTAAAACTGATTAGCTCCGAGAAAGACTTTGTAATCAAATAAATCTAAAGTAAGGCATGCTTTCAATTTTGTTTAGAGGGGAGATTTTTTTTTTTCTTCCAGCTCTGCTTTCTTTCCCTGAGAAAGCTTAGTATCTTTTGTGTTCTAAAACACGTCCACTTCTGTGATTTCAAAGGAGAGGAGAACAAATTCTGTTTGTAACTGGCCAATTTCAGCTCCTGAGAAAGACCGTGGAGGAAGTGGTATGTGAATAAGATCTGAATAAAGCATATTATTAGATCTCAAAGAGAATCAATAGAATCTAATGTAGTTTTCCTTGCATCGCATCAATAAAGCAACGTTGTTAGGAAGGCATTACAATCTTGTCTTCTCTTGTTGGTTTGAAAGCTTGTCTTTTTTGTTGTGGTGGCTGATTTGCCCCTGGGCCGTCTGTCCCAAGGACTAATTTGTTTCGTTTTGTGATGCATCATCCCTGCAACCATACTGAAGGCTCAGAACACCTGGGGAGAGAAATAGATGTTATTTTTATTATCTGTGCTTTATAAATAAATTTTAACCTGGAGAGATTACATGGCCCAAGTCACCCATTCAGCGGCGTGGGAAGGCTGGGGCACAGTTCTGCCCGGAGATGTAATCTGCTTACGATCAGGCTGAGTCTTGGGGATTGCAGGCTCGCCCCTTATTTCACTGCTGGCAAAATTTATTTTCTCACAGTTCCGGTGGTTAGAAATCTGACATCAAGCCGTGGGCAGGCCTGGTTCCTCCTGAGGCTGTGAGGGAAGGGTCTGTAAGAAAATACATTTCTGTTGTTTAAACCACTCATCCCGTGGGGCTTGGTTAGGGCATCCCCAGCCAACTAATACTGGGGCTGTTGCTACCACTTTACTGATGATGACAGAGAGACGCCTGGTCTCCTGACAGTCAGCCCAGGGCCCCAGGATCACGCCTGTGGGGCTTTACTCTTCCGGAGCCCAGAAAGCACAGCCATACGAGCCATTAGGTGCTCACAAGCTCCATGTTTAGCTTAGACATGGAGTAAATCCACAGTTCCACTCTCCTCTTTGGTCAGCAATTATTTTTTTTTTTAAAGATTTTTATTTTTTATTTTTCAAGATTTTATTTATTGATTTGACAGAGACAGAGAGAGAGAGCATAGATAGGCAGAGCAGGAGGCAGAGGGAGAGGGAGAAGCAGGCTTCCTGCTGAGCAGGGAGCCCGATGCGGGGCTCGATCCCAGGACCCCGGGATCATGACCTGAGCTGAAGGCAGACGCTTAACGACTTGAGCCACCCAGGCACCCCAAAAGATTTTTATTTTTAAGTAATTTCTACACAGGGACTCAAACTCACAACCCCGAGATCAAGAGTCGCATGCTCCACGGACTAAGCCAGCCAGGCACCCCTGGTCAGCAAATCTTAATGAGAGATTTGCAATTTGGTCAGCTGGTTGGAGGTTGACTTGATATCCTACCTCTTCCTCTCCAGTTCTCTTGCCAGGAAAAGTTTCTGCTGGGAAATGTTCACTCCTGTCCAGATTCCCAGAGGCTTCCGCCCACCCAAGACCCCTCTGTTCTGACATCCAGTGCTTTGGGGCAAGAGGACCCCTCTGTTCCTGTCAAGCAGGTTGCTCTGTCCTCTGGGGAGGAGTCTTGCATCTTCACTGGGACCCCAATGCGAGTCTTTGTCTCTGGAAGTGGCGGCGTCCCACTGATGTGGGGACTGACAAGAGTGTATTTCATGGGGCTCTAGGCAGCGGCCCTCAGAAGGTGGCCCACGCAGGAAGCCTGGTTCCTGAGAGGCTCGGTGACGGCTCCACAGGGAGATGTACACAGAGGGGACAGCGAGCCTTCAGCAGCATCCACACCAATTTAACAGCAATGCTTTGTCAGTGGAATCTAAGAATAAAAAAAGAAATGAGCTCATATTTCATGTCTTTTTTATGCAATAATGTCATCTTTCTCATCACACATCATGCCCTACTGCAAATAAGAAAACTTCGCCGGGGTAGTCGGAGAAGCTCAGCCCAGAGCTCAGCATGACTGACGGAGGAGGCACAAAGATCATCATAGAGAAGCACAGAGACCAGGGGTTAAAGACCCACGCCTGACCCTTCACCTTGATGGTACTTGGAGGCGGGGCCTTTGGGAGGAAATGAGGTTTAGATGAAGTCGTGAGGGTGAGGGTTCCCATGATGGGATTAGCGTCCCTAGAGAAGGAAAAGAGACCAGAGGTCTTGCGGTCTCGGCCACGGGAGGACGCAGGAAGGAGGTGGCCGTCTGCCAGCCGGGGTGATCCTCAGCAGGAACTGCATCGGCCGGCACCTGCTTGACCTGACGCTTCCAGCCTCCAGGACCGTGAGCGGTCAATGTCTGTGTTGTTTAACCAGCCAGTCTCTGGGGTCTGCTGCGCCAGCCGGACAGACCGAGACCCAGGCTCCGCCACTGACAAAGCAAGGAGCCGTGGCCTCCCCGGGGTCTTTATCAAACTTGGCCTGGGTTCCCATGCCCTGGCACGACCAAGCCAATTCCCCGGGACACAAACCTGCCCGTACAGGTGCTCTGTTGGAAGGCGGGTCCCAGGGGCGCCTGGGGGGCTCAGTCGTTAAGCGTCAGCCTTCGGCTCAGGTCATGATCTCAGGTCCTGGGATCGAGCCCCATGTCGGGCTCCCTGCTCAGCAGGGAGTCTGCTTCTCCCTCTCCCTCTGCTGCTCCCCCGCTTGTGCTCTCTCTCTCTCTGTGTCAAATAAATAAATAAAATCTTTAAAAAAAAAAAAAAAGGAAGGCAGGTCCCAGGGCACATCACACCCCAGTCCCTTCCTATCGCCTGATGGGGCGGCCACCCCACAGGTTTCTAAAGGAAGGGCTGGTGGCTGGTGATGCCTTCCCTCCCACAAAGCTGGTCCCACCTCGAGGCAAGGCTTCCTTCGGGAAGCTCATCTACTCCTTCCTTAGCAACTTAAAGCTTCCTTAAAACTCCACACAGCAAGTTTCCTCCTCTTCAATGTGAATGGTAAGTTCCATTTTTCTACATTTGTAAAATAAATCTGTATCCAGAAAAATGCCATTTGTATATAATACAATCTGCACAAGACTTACTTTTCTCGTTGTTTAAAAAAAAAAGGTCCAGATGCTCTCACGTTGATGAACAGTCATCCCAAGCCTTCACAAGCCTAGGCCTGCAGCTTCGGTCATTTGTTTCTCAATTATCTTGGGAGAAGTAGGTCAGAGATGGAAGCAGGCCCAGGAGGCAGGGAGGTGTGGGAGAAGGACCCCGGGAAATGGCTCTGCCATGGACTAGAGTGACCTTGGGCAAGTGCATGAGCCGCCTGGCACCTGGCACCCCACAGGGCTGGGAGAACTGTGACCCCGTGCTTCTTGATGCGTGGTGTTCCACAGCGGCCCCTCCTGTCCTTTAGATGACAGATGCGCCGCCACATGGCCTGGACCGAGCCTCCTCCTCAGCCACCTTCCCTCTCCAGGCCGGCCTGAAAATGGGATAGCAGCCGAGGAGAAGGAGCAGAGAAGAGATGCCAGGGGAACGGTGGCTTCGGGCTCCTGGAGTTTGCTAGATCTTGTCTTTGTTACTACTCCTGGGCATGAAGCTGAGTTCCTGGCCACTTCTCTTTCCTGTCCAGCAAGTAACTGCTTTCCATCAGCCTCCTGCTACTCCCCTCCCAGAGAGCCCTGCTTCCTTCCTGCCCTGCCAGGGGCTGCAGCGGGCTCAGCCCCCTCCCCTGCATCCCTGCACACCCCTCCGTTGGCCCTGGTTCTCCCGGCCCCGGCAGGTGACACAGCGTCGATATTTACACAGCATTCACGGCAGACAAAGCATGATCTTCCGGCACTAACAGGACTGCTGATTCACTGGCTTCTAAACAAAAACCACCAGATCGGGGGTTGGGGGGCCTGAACGTAACCCCCCCCCACCTCCCCTGTCTGCCCAGGGCCACTGTAATCGGAAGGGCTGCCTGCGGAGGGCGGCGAGGGGGTGTCAGGTGCTTGATGTAAACATGTGTGACCTCCTGGGAGCCTGGCCAACCCGGTGCGGCGGGTGATGGTTCTGTTTTGATGCACATGGGAAGTGAGGCTCGCTGAGATACCTGGGTGCTAAGGGGATGTCCTGGTGTGCCAACCGGTCTTAAAAAGAAACTCAGTCACGTGCTGACTCAGAGCCAATGCAGAGCTGGTAAGAGGCAGACCCTGTGTGGTGCTAAGGCCCCTCTCCTCCGCCGGCACCCCCGCTCTGGTCCCCTGCCCACCCTCAGCGGTGTGGGCTCTAGGATGCCTGAGCAGTTAGGGAAGGTGGCGACCTGGAATCTGGTGGGGAGGGCCGCCGCCTCGGAAGGGGAGGGGACAGACCATGAGAACCTGGGGTAGTTCTGTCCCCTGGGAAGTGTGATGGGGTGGTAGTTTGCACTGGGTAGGTTTGGCCCAGTAATTTGGGTCTGGATACTTAGTGGGGGTGAGGACAGTGACTCGTCGGTCCTGCCCCAGATGCTGTGAAGGATCACTGAGCCCCTTCAGCTAGCTCCTTCTTTTGCATGTGCTCCCTCACTGTCTTGCCAACGGCCCAGGGGATAAGATCCAGCGCTTCTGGGGTCCGCTGCCTGCTTTTAGGCTGCTGGAGGAGCAAGGCATTCAGAAACCCGTGACCAGGCCTCTCTCTGCTCGGGGCTTTTAATCTCCTTAATTGAAATTGATTGGCCTCTTGGGAGGTAGCTCTGCATCAGCCCTGAGCTTCAGCATGTGATCAACTTTTGCTTCTTTCTTTTAAAAGACCAATTGACACAGCAGGGCATCTAATCTTATCCCTGAATCCCGGGCCCCCTTCCAGATGAGAAGCAGAACCAGAAACAAGCACACTTACAAAAACAGCTCAGGAAATAAAAGCGCCTGATAAAAATAAGGGGAGAATATTCTTGTCCCATTGTGGCTTCGCATGCTACAAAAGGCCAGTCAAAACCCCATTACCAAGGAAAGATGTAATCACATGGGGAAGGAGCCATGGGAGTGGGGGGCCGGGTGCGCCTTCTGAAACTCACAAGACCAACAGACTGGGCTAGAGCATCTCTAAGAACCAGCTGCAAAATAGATAAAACGGGAAGAAAAATGTAAGCCCCTCTTCAGTTAAAAGAAAACCAGACACTGAGGGAATTGTTTGAGCATCCAGATCTGCGTTCATCCAGATGGACCAGTCACCCCCAAGTGGCTGCAGCTGGTTGACAAACTGGTCTGGCAGGTCATATCTCTTGGTGAAGCCTCTGATCGGGGCCTCTTACTTACCAGACTGATCGCATATCCTGGGAATAACCCTCTGGGGGCTCTCCTGTGCCTCCTGGGGGTCATTTCACCAACTGGACACGGGGCTTCAAAGCGGCTATGTTGGGGAGGCTCGGGCCACTTCACGACGTCCAAGCCTGGGCTCTGTCCCAGCAATAGTGGTGTGGATTAGCACCAGGACGCAAGGAGTACCCTGGAGGCAAGGCAGCACGGCAGCAACAAGTAATCATTATGAGCGACAAACGCATTCTAAGAACATCTTGCTGCCTCGCCTTCTAAAGATCAAGTTGGGGGCGCCTGGATGGCTCAGTTGGTTGAGTGTCGGCCTTCGGCTCAGGTCATGATCCCGGGGTCCTGGGATCGAGCCCCGCCTGGGGCTCCGTGCTCGCCGGGGAGTCTGCTTGAAGATTCTCTCCCTCTGCCACTCCCCCAACTCACATGCATGCTCTCTCTCTCTCTGTGTCTCTCAAATAAATAAATAAATCTTTTTTAAAAAAGATTTATTTATTTATTTATTTGACAGAGAGAGAGAGAACACAAGCAGGGGGAGCTGCCGGCAGAGGGAGAGGGAGAAGCAGGCTCCCTGTTGAGCAGGGAGCCCGACGGGGGACTCGATCCCAGCACCCTGGGATCAGGACCCAAGCCGAAGGCAGACATTTAACCGACTGAGCCACCCAGGCACCCATTAAATTAATAAGTCTTTAAAAAAATGAAGATCAAGTTGAAGGGGATCAAGATATACCACCCCAATATATGCTACCTTGGCATAAGGATTATTTTAAGCTGAAGGCATCTGGGAATCAACAAAATGCAGGAAGAATTCTCCTCCCTCCTCTTTTTTGCCTAAAAGCAGGACATAAATTTCCTTTTGTGAAGGTATCCCCATCTCCCATACTAGGAAGAGAGTAACTCTTATTACCAAGAGAGTCATCACGGAGATGAGTCTGCATTAACAGACCTTACTAAAAAAAACCCTTCATTTTCCCATACATATCCTCATCACTTCACAGTGTATGGCTCCTTAAAGCCCAAATCTCCTTTCCTTTGATAAAGATGGCATATAAGCCCCCAAAACAGTCTAACCACCTCTTTTCTGTGAACTCCTATGCAAGAAAAATGTTAATAAAATTTGTATTCCTTTTCTCCTATTTGTCTTTTGTTGGTTAAATTTGCAGGCCCCCAGGCACTGAACCTAAGAGGGCAGAAGAAAAGTTTTTCCTCCCCAAAAATATCAAGACATCCAGATTGAAAAAGCAGAGATCTAGCTTGTTTGCTGGAGAAGCTCCATTTTCAAATAAATTCAAGTTGAGAGGGGTTCTTTGTCTCTACCTTCCCTAGCAGCAGAAATGTGATTTAAGGATGAAGGAGAGGGTGAGCTCTATAAAAAGGAAAGATGTATCTGTCCCAGTCATCACGGAGCTAGTGTCTAAGGGTGCTTAACACATGGCAGGCATGCAACATATCAATGGATGAATGGATATCGGATGAAATATCCAAAATACGATTGGAGCAAATGCATAGTGTAAAAGGTAAAACTGCAGTTTGTTGAATACGGGCTCCCATAAAATAATACCAAGACAACCTGTTGATAAGGCACAGCTCCTGGCATGAAGAGAGGTCACTTCTTGGCTGTTTTTATTTTTTTTTAACACTTTATTTTTAAGTAATCTCTACACCCAAAGTGGGGCTCAAACTTACAACCCCAAGATCAAGAGTCACACACTCCACCGGCTGAGCCAGGCAGGTGTTTCCTTCTTAGCAGTTTTAACAGTGTCTCCAAGTGGGTCTCACTGGTGAAGTCCGGACATTCATCATTTATGGTGGGTGTTTCAGTGTGGAGTGGATTAGGATTGACTAAGGCTCATGATATAAAAGTTCAGGATTGTGGGCACAGCAAGGTGAGTTAATAGTCATTTACTGCTATCTTTTGAAGTTAAGCAGTTTCAAGTGGGTTTGGGTAAGTTCCTAAAACAATAGCTATTTGCAACTTTTATCTTTGGCAAGTGTTTCTGTAATAATAAAATTATATTGGTAAAGACAGTGGAATTAAGTCACGTTTTTAGTGAGCAGCCACATCGCTGTAGACGTATGTGAGCTAAGTGGGAGTTGGTGGTTTCAGTCCTCAAGCTAAAGAGCTTACATTAACCATTCTCCTTCTCGAGCACGACATAAACAGACAAGTAGACCATGTTTGTCCACAGGCCCTAGGATAGGTGTGGTGGCTAATTTCTGGCTATAGTGGGCTGATAACATATTGAACCACCCAAGGTGGAGAGGTAATTCAGGTATGTGTTAGACTGTGATATCCTCTGAAAATAGCCCTGAGAGAGGACCAGGTGCATA